TGTCACTTTGGCAAAACAACTCGCCGCCATTTTGAAAAAACCGCTTAGGTGATTATCGCGTAATAATCCGAGGTCGCTTGACCAATCAGCGGCCACAATTTTCGATAATCACCTTTGTAATTATACTAATATTATTTAATTTAAAACATAGTTGGAACACTCATCAAATCTTTATTTTGTTAATCTATATAAAGCTTGAAATATCCCCGTAACAATGTGTGACTGCCAAGTCTTATAGTGCTCGTTTGACAGGGACAAAATAACAGTAACCCCGAAACGGGGAACATTTTGAAAAGTGTTTATCTGACATTTTCGACTAGATTTCGCTCATCAGTGTCGTCATCAGGGGCAGGTTTGTTCAAAGCTGGTTTAGCTTTAGGTTGACATAAATTCAAAGCAAACTTCCTGACAGCTTGTCTGTAAATTTGGAAATATTTCTTCAGAGATCTTGTCTGGATCGATAGGAGTTTACTTCTCTGAAGTTTTGAAATAAACAGCTAGACGTGTAGAAATATACAAACTAAAAACAGCAGGTTAAATTTTAACCCAGGGTTAGCGCTAACACACATTTGAACAACCGTTCCCAGATGACTAAAATCATTAAACCATCATTCATTAAAATCGAGACGAAATGTCGAATAAGCAGTTTTCGAAATGATTACCATTTTCGGAGTTTCTATTGTTTGGATTTAATTACAATAATCGGTGGTTCCCACGATTTCTCAAGGTTTGTGCTTGCACGTCACAAAATCTCTTCCTATACTTTTCTGGAACCCAAGCGTAGCATTAGTAGCATTACATTCCCGAAATAGAAACACTTTATAATTTTAAGCATTCCAACACGTTTTTTTCCAGCCTTTTGATAGATCATACATGTCGTCACACCTTTATGCAACTTGAGAAAGATTGGATCGCAAATATATTAATATGAAATAGACTTTCTTTTGGCAGTCTCGTGCTGTTGTGAGCAATGATGCATCCGCCTAAAATGCTAATGAGCATCGCATTTTGCGCGCTTTTGTGGAGCGCGTCTCGAGTAGTGGCTTCGCGTTTGTATTCAAGCGCAATTGAACCGTCGCATTCTTTTCAAAAGACCCAAAGTGGTAGGTTTTGTGTAGTCGTGTGATTATTTCTTAGTAGTTTACTATGGATTATACCTAAATACATGTTAATCCTAGGTATAATGCTGTTATAAATTGTAGTTCAGTTATTTGAATTAGGGTATAATGTTTTGGATTATGTTTCAAACGAGGCCCATAAATGAACCAATTAGTTTAAAAATTTGTCATACGGCACAAATATTCAGACTAATATTACTCAGTTACATCTGTGTTTATATATAAGACTGATTAGATAAGTTCTATATTTAGGAATCACAAATATAATTATACTGTTAATAACTCCTGTTATATAAATTTTGAGAAACTATTGAGGACAGAAAATTTCCGACGCGCGTCGAAATATTTTATACAGGAAATTAAGTACTATTTAATAGGCTGTTTATATATATATATATATATATATATATATATATATATATATATATATATATAT